GCCAGCAAGGCTCACTGAACCTGTTGTATTCAGTTCTTTTCACTCACCAACCAACTTGGGATGATTGTTTTCAACTGCTCCAAGTCCTCTTCACTACTGAGGAGAGAGACAGGATTAGAACAGAAGCTTAGAAATTGGTTCCAGGCCCAGATGGAAGACTGGCCACCAAATCAGATCTCATAAATGTTGGGTTTTCTGTGATATGACTCAGTTGGGATTCTACATAGAAAAATGTAGGGAGAGGCTGAAAGTCCACCTCCAGACTCTAATGGGGGTTTCTGTCCAAAGTTAGTCAGGTATGCCAGGGCCTGAAGAAACACCAGGAGCATTCCCTGAGAGGGGGACAGAAGTTTATAACACTATACACCCTGGAATCTGGAAGCACCAGAGAATTGGTCTGTAGTCAGCCCAGCTTTTGTCAACCAGTCAGCACCAGATATTCACCATAAGTTGCAGAGACTAGAAGGTTTTAAAGGTAAGAGGTTGGCTGAACTCATGGTGGCTGCTGAAAAATAATAGGGAAACCCCAGAGGAAAGGCAGACAAAAGGGCTTATGAGAGCTTTATAAAGACAGATTTGGAGTCTCATTCTGAGATTCCTGGAGGCAGGATTGCTATTTTTGGAGGTCAAGACTACATTGGGGACTTCTGCCAGATCCACCAGGCAAAGTCCCACTAGCATGTCCACACCCGACCTCTGGAAGAGTCAGCAGACAAGGAAGGCCCTCCTGCTATGTCCAACCTTAGCCAGATCTAGCAGGCAAGGAAAGCCTGGTTGTCCATGACTAACCACCACCTGAGCCAGCAAGCAAGGGAGGCCCGCCCATTCCTGACCTCTGCTGGAGCCAGCAAGCAAAGATGGCCCAGCAGCCTGCCCATGCCCGAACTCCACCAGTGCCAGGAGACAAGGACGGCCCGCCCATACCCAACCACTGCTAGAGTTAGCAGGTAAGGAAGGCCCACCCACTCCTGACCTCCACCAAAGCCAGCACACAAGGAAGGCCTGCCCACCCACGCCCAACTTCCACTGAAGCCAGTAGGCAAGGAAGGCCCACCTACCTGCCCCTAACCTCTGCTCTGCCATTGAGCAACATCTGTTGTGACTGGAACCATAACCCTAACTCCACCACAAGGAGAGACCATCTGAGCCTAGGATTCACTGGCACGCGGAAGACTGACCACCAGAGACACAACCCCAACTACACCAATTGGAGGAAAAGATGGGTAGACAACACACTGAACAACACAAAGGGGAACACAGCACCATGAAAAAAATCAGTGGCTCTAACAGCAGCAAGACTTGAACACCTCAACACAGAAGAAGCAGAAAATGCCCAAAAAAATAACTTTAGGAAAATGTTTCAGGCCCTTAAAGAGGAAATGAAAAATTCCCTCAAAGAAGTGGGGGGAAAGACAAACAAAAAATTGGAAGAAATCAACAAAATCCTTAGAGAAAACCAAGAAAAAGCAATCAAACAGATGAAAAAAAAATGATTCAAGACTTGAAAACCAAAATAGAAACAATAAAGAAAACACAAACCAAGGGAATTCTGGAAATGGAAATTATGGGTAAATGATCAGGAACCACAAATGCAAGCTTAAACAGCAGAATACAAGAGATGGAAGAAAGAATCTAAGGTACTGAAGACACAATAGAGGAAATAGATTCATAGGTCAAAGAAAATCTAGAACACCAAACTTAAGAATAACAGGGATAAAAGGAGAAAAAGTCCAACTTAAATGCCCAGAAAAATATACTCAACAAAATCATAGAAGAAAACCTAAAGAAGGATATGCCTATGAAGGTAAAAGAAGCTTACAGAACACCAAACAGACTGGACCAAAATAATGTCCCCTTGTCACATAATTATCAAAACAATAAACATACATAATAAAAAATATTAAGAACTGAAAAGGAAAATGTCCAAGTAGCATATAAAGGCAAACCTATTAGAATTACACCTGACTTCTCGGTGGAAACAATGAAAGCTAGAAAAGGTCCTGGTCAAGTGTTATGTAGACATAGAGACCACAGATGATGTGTTCTTGGATTCAGTTTGCCAGCATTTTATTGAATACATTTGCATCTATGATCATGAGAGAGATTGATCTGTAATTCTCTTTCTTGGTTGAGTCTTTGTGTGGTTTCAGTATCTGGGTAACTAATCTCATAAAAGGAGTTTGGCAATGTTCCTTCTGTTTATATTATGTGGAACACCTTGAGGAGTATAGGTATTTACTAACTAGGCACACCTACAGGTGGAACAGTGTGTCCAGTTGGCAACATTTGCAGTTACATCATGATGCAAAGTAAAAGAGAATTTCAGCTCTAATCAAATCTAAAATCAACTCAGTCAAGGCTGAATAACCTCAGTCTATATTGAATACTACGCTGTCTCCTATAAGGGACATACCAGACTTCCTCCTGTCATCCTTTTAGCTACATAACTAAAAAGTTTGCTCTTAATAGTTGGCACTGCTGGTATTCCTCGTTCTCATATCCCCTTCCTCTCAGCTTCCTACAACACTGGCTCCTGCAGTATTGACACAGAGAAATTAGGGCATTGTGGGTTTCTATGATACTACTTCATTCCTTGTTCTTAAATTCTTCCTATTAACTCTTGATATCATTTATTCTTTTGCATTACTCTTAGACTCCTGTGGTTAGAATCATTCTCTCAAGGACAATCATGCAAATATGTCATGTCTTGAACTACTGTGACTCTTTCAGACTACTCACAAGGTGCTTTGGAAAGGCAGCATCCTGTTCTTGAGAATCCTGAATTCAAGGTAATACTTCAAACAACAAAGGCTTTAAGAGCTGAATCAGATCCACTGTATATTTTTAACAACATCCCCTCTGGCTCACCCAGAGAAGAATCATCAGGGGAAAGTTTTCCTAATAAAATACTCATTTCATCTATCGCTCTAAGAAAGTGACACTAAAGGCAATCAACAATAATTTTTGTAAGGAAAGCAAGGAGAGCAGGTAGCAATATGCTCCTGGAGTCATGCACAGAATTAGACAGCAAACTATATATTGGCCTTATCAAAAATGTATTAAATTCTCCTTGGCCTTGCCAAAAGGAAAACTTACTCATGTTTTTCTCAGGCCTTGTCCCCCAGTGAAGTCATATTGTTCCCAGCATTAATGAATGCCATTAATAAGAGACTGTATGACTTTGTCCCATGTAAAATGTTAGCTGCTGAGTGCTATAAGCTAACACAGGTTTCCAGCCAATGGCCTGTGTCTCAAACCTCTGAGCTAACTTACTGTGTCAACCAGGATTGCACACATCTGCATAAGAGAGTTCCACAATTAGAAACTGAACATTCAATAGCTCAAGCTACCCTCCCTAAATTGTACACCCATTAATTCTGTCTGTCTTCATTCACATGGAAGAAATTAATGCATGCTGGGAAATTACACAGAATGTTGTTCACCCTGCCCTTTCAGGTCATTCTTTATGATGAAGACCCCTGCAGCTTCAGTCTGTGATCAAGCTATTGTCTAGTCGGTTTCCCCCTGCAGTGTACACAGCACACTGATCTTCTTTCATTCTACAGGGAGAAGCCATGCTCCACGGTCAAATCCTTTTCCTGTTACTGCAATGGATAGCCCACTATGCAACTCAAACTGGTAACTTTAGAACTGTGGTGCTGCAGACCTGTAAACTAAGAATTGAGGGTGGTCAGTTGGGAGGAGAGCCAAGGGCAATGCCCTGTAGGACTACAGACAGGGTTCAAGTCCACCTCAATCAATATGAAAGACCTTGACTCTAAATGATTTTCAAAAAGACTAGAGATGCAGCTGTTCTAGAATTAGTATACCTTCATGGCGCACCAGGACTTAATGTTGACTGTACCTGGAATGGCCCCTTGACAGCATTTAGAGGCCTGTCTTTTAACAAAGGGATGGGCCTTTCTGCTGACTGTAAATCAGGGTTGTCTCCCTTGTTATGGGAATTCAGCTCTAAAGGTGATTAATACTGTTTAACAAAAAAAAAAATTACTGTTTAACAAACTTTCCATCTTCCCATACCATTCTCTAACAGGCATGGTTAGTGTACTACTTATCTTAGGGGTATTTGGGATGGAGCCCGCCCTTACCTAAATTCTACTTTGTGACTTAAGTTCTCCTAAGAACGGGTAAATCCTTATACCATCAATTCTATTACAATTAATTCTACTCTTCTACATCACAGTCTAGACTCTATGTGATGTTAAGTTGGGAGCGTCATCCCCGCCCTTGATATCCATCCCAGCCCCCAGGCCTAGGAGTTGCGTTGGTCTGGACTCCAAATCCCAGCATTCCAGAGAGGGTTCCGGACCACTCCCACCGGGTATTTACGTCCAGGGGAAGAACACGTGGGTCCCGGATTTTGCACGTGCTCTCGGCCACCCGAGAGTGTGCATTTAATAAAACACGGGCGTTTTAATTTGGTTTGATTTGACCTGATTGGATTTCTTGGCGCCGGCGGAGCTGCTCGTCTTTTCCTAACACTCTACACAGGAGATAATCCTTTACAAGCCCCACAAAATTAACTCCAGGCGGATCCAAAACCTAAATGTTAAATGTTAAAAATGTAGAACTTTTGGAAGACGCTAGAGACCAGGGTTCTCCGAGCTTGGCAAATTTGCCTTCCACACTGACAATACAAGGACTACAGCGCGCCTTTCATAGTGACGTCAACAACAAGGATATTTCTAAGTACAGTCCTGCTCCCAGTGCTGTGTGCAGATGCAGCCAGCGGAGTGAGGTTATTCAGGGGCTGCCTCCCTGGGCCAGGGAGTTGCAAGGATCACGCAGGACCACACAGAACCAGCAGGAACACGCCGAACTCTGTCTAGCCCCCAGACTCCCACCAAACCAGGGGAGGACTCACCACACCACCTCTCGCAGCTCAGTCAGCCGCGCCACACAGTCTAGAGACAGCAGCCTCTTTCTCACCAAGGCCAGCCACTTCTCCCTATCTGTGGAGAACAGGCTCTTTTACTCACCATGGTGCAGTTGCCAAGCTAACCCGCTTTCTCCCCACGATGGAGCCCAAGGCACAACACACAGTGTAACTTCCGACTTTCACAGGAAACAAGCTGAGCCAGAAGCCTGGCTCCCAGAAGTACCCTCCCATCTATCTGACTGGTGGGTCCGCAAGAGGCTCTGATTGGAGAGTGAGGCCTGAATGACAGGACGGTGAGCTGAAGGCACAATGCACAGTAGTTCCTAGCTCTGGCTTCCCCTTTTAGGACAGACCTATCCAGGTTGGCTGGAGATTTGTGCCAAATTCAACACCAATGGGTTCAGTTTTACAAATTCAGAAGGAGGCTACTCAGACAATTTTGCACGAGAGGAACACAGGGTAACTCAAGGGCATTATAAACAAGGTCCACAGTGGCCTTGGGATGGATAACCACAGCCCCAACTGTAGAAAAACGTGGGTTCTCAGGATCTGATGCCACCCCTCAGCCAAAGACCCTACCATGCAATTTCCCTGTTTTAGAAAAGGTGTTCTCTTACTTTCTCAATACATCAGGACCTTAGATAAAAATTCCAAGGACTACATAGGTTGCCAAACTCAAAGGGGCCTAGTTTCAAGTGTCTTCTAGAAGTTCTCCACTTCAAATTTGACATTTAGATGTAAAATTCTTCTGTTTTCACAAACCCAAAGAATTCTTGTGAGTTCCAGGGAGCCAAATTGAAGTATCCACCTTAAACAGGTCAGATACACCACTCTCAATTTCCTGATCCTAATTTTTTTTCCTAAACTTAACTTTGTTCTTTGTTCTGCCAATACCTTAAAAAAGTATTAAGAGACTATCTACCCAGGATGTGACCAGCACCCAGCTTTCTTAGCCCCCCCCCCAAGATGACACCCACAAATAAGCAGGAAGCACTCTTGAGAATCTACCGCCCTAATTCCTTTAACCTGTTGTGCCTAACCTCCTGCATTTTTATTTAAAAAAGAGATGGGTATGTAATGGTCTGTCCTGTCCCTTTAAGAGACAAGCCACTCCCATCACCCACCCCCATCTGCTAAGGCAAGCTGATCTTCAGCTTCCAATCTGGGTCCACTGAAGGAGAAAGATGCCAGAACATTACAAGTAAGTCATAGACTCATGGCAATACATAGATTAATAGAAATGGGTTCATCTAAGATCTAGCTAGGAATATGCCTAAGCCATTGGCCAAACTGTGTTGTACTTAATATAGTTTCTGTGAAATTATCCGTATCTGGGTGACCAGGAAACTAAAGCGCAGTCTCTGTCTACAGTCTACAGATGGTCTTTCTGTGTCAGGGTCATCTCAGAAAGAGAAAATGACTTACAGCAGAGAGTAACCAAAGCCTCTACTCTACATCTCTGGCTGCTGAGCTTTTAGAAGCCCTGGTTTGTCAGCACCTGTCTGTGAACCCACAGAATTACTTCCTCTACACTTGTATTATCTGACTCACCTCCAGTCTCTCTAAGTTCCAGGGAGAGCTTTACAATAATGAAACAGTCAGTCATCTGGATGAAATCACTTCCCCAATATACTTGAGATCTGCCATGGTAAAAGGGCAGCTTCAACTGTCCCTCTTATGTCCAGGCTTCCACAGGAAAAGTCTTCACGGAAAGCATGTGGGCTCTGCTGCAGATTCCATTCACTGTGGCTCCTCTGGGGCTTCCTGCTTACACTGCTTAGCTGGAGCTTTTTCTTAGTATCAAGAAGCATTTCTTACTCCACTCCCAGTCCCCAGAAGGGCCATCTCAACTCTGCTTTCCATCATCAGGTGGGCCTAATCTACACTACCATCCTAGAAGAGAGGTGACAGATCTGCTCCAACTCTGATAATAAATGAAGCTGGGACATGATCCTGAACCCACAGAGATGTAGTAAGAAGGGCCCTGAAATAATCAGACAAACTATATTATTTAAATCACTGCTTAGCCCATTAGCTCTAGCTTCTTATTGGCTAACTTTTACATATTAATTTAACCCATCTCCATTAATCTGTATATTGTCATGTGGCAGCGGCTTACTAGGTAAAGTTCCATTCAGCTCCAGCAGGGCTACATGGCTTCTCCCTGACTCCACCTCCTTTCTCCCAGAATTCTGCTTAGTTTTCCCTGCCTAGTTCTGTTCCCCTATAGCTCTGCTATAGGCCCAAAGCAGTTCCTTCATTAACCAATGATATTCACAGCATACAGAGGGGAATCCCTCCTCACAGAGAGAAGTGGGTACACCGGATCCCTGTATAGATACCTGGTATCTAAAGAGTTAGCATGCCTACCTCATGTACCTGTCCCTACAGACCAATACAGCACATGGTACGGTAAGGACAGGAGTCAAATGCAGGTGCTGGAGAGATGTCTCATAAGAGCATTTACTGCTCTAATAGATTTTCTTAAAAAGAAATTTCTCCTTACATGTGTTTTTCTTGGATTTATTTACATACCTAGTGCCTATGGAAGTCAGAAGAAGGGACCGGATCCCTTTAAACTGGAGTGATATAAAGTAGCAAGATTCCCTGTGGGTGCTGCGAACTGAATCCAGATCCTGTATGAGAGAAGTATGCTGCTATTGTCCACTGGATCATCTCTCCAGCTTCCATGTTGTTTTATATTATCTCTCTCACTTGTGGGGTTTTCCAGCTTGTTTTCAGTCAGCACTTTCAATGTGGCAGCTCACTGACTTTTAGTGTCCAAAGATTTTCTTCTATAAAATCTGTTGGTAGTCTTTATTATGGATCCTTGTATAATAAATGGTAATTTTTCTTTTCTGTTTCCAATATTATTCTTTGGTGATAATTTGATGTATAGACAAAATTCTTGTTAGTTTTGATTTTTGAAACAAAATCTCATAATGTAGCCAAGGCTTAAGATAGATTAAAATGTCAGGGGAGCGCTTGGAAAATGAAATAAGTGGGGCAGAAACAATATAAAAATAAAGAGATAGCCAACTTCACAAAGTCACCTTCTGTCCTCCATGTGAATGTTGAGATATGTATCCACCACCCCCTACCATATACCTATGCAATAATAATTTTTTTTATTTAAAAAACCGCACATTTATTTCGCTTTCTGACTCTGCGCTTGTGCCTTCAACACTTTCACAACAATTTTCTGCTCCTCAATAAGGAAAGCCCGCTTGATCCTGTCACGGACACACTTGGCACACATGGAGCCACCATAGGCCCGGCTGACATGCTTCTTTGTCTTCAACAATCTCATGAGGACTTTCGGTCTCATAGCACGAACCCCTCAGAGTCGGCCTGGGCACACACCGCACACTGATTTAGGTGCTTTTCCAACCTTCTTGGTGTAAAGGTAAACAATCCTGTTGCCAGGGGTTCGAGACAGCCTAGTTTTGTTGGAGGCTGTGTTGTAGGATGTCAAACGCTGGACCATTCTGAGTGCCTCTAAGCACCGTCCCCAGAAGAGGAAAAAGGCATAATAATTTTTTTAAAATAGGCAAATTACGTCTGGTTGTGAAAACTCCAGCTAAGGGCTGTGAATTCTAAAGCAATAAAGGTGGAGTACACAGTCTATAATCATCTTATATAGAGATTTCAATTGAGAATGTTAACACTGATGAACCACACTAACCAGATGACCTTAATTTGACTTTTCCCAGTTGTAAACCTAAAACTCAAAGAGATAGTAAGGTTTCTTTTTGACATTCAAAAGTTATGTCTTAACCCCTTGTAACCTGGTATATTAAGAACAGCTTGAACCCTTGTCATCTATGGACTCATCCAATGATCTCATTTAACAAATACGAAAAAGGATAAGTAGGGGTGAAACTTCACTGAACAATTCTCTTAAAAAGCCACCCAAATTAAATAAAAACACTTTACTTAGTGAGATAACCCGGACCCAAAAAGATGAATATGGTATGTACTCACTCTAAGTGGATTCTAGCCATAAATAAAGGACATTGAACCTGTAATTTGTGATCCTAGAGAAGCTAAATAAGGTGAACCCAAAGAAAAACATATATATAGTTATCCTCCTGGATATTGGAAGTAGACAAGATTGCCAGGCAAAAGTTGGGAGCATGGGTGTGGGGGGGTGGGGGGAAGGGGAGATGGGGAGAGAGAAGGGAGAAAGGGAGGATTGGGCAGAGCTTGGGGGAATGGGATGGTTGGGATGGAGGAAAGGTGGATATGGGAGCAGGGAAGTAGATATCTTAATTATGGGAGCCATTTTAGGGTTGGCAAAAGACTTGACTCTAGAAGGGTTCCCAGGTGCCCAAGGAGATGTCCCCAGCTTGTTCCTTGGGCAGCAGAGAGGGTGCCTGAACTGGCCTTATCCCATAGTCACAGTGATGAATATCTTGCATATCACCATAGAACCTTCATCAGATGATGGATGGAGATAGAGACAGAGACCCACATTGGAGCACTGGACTGAGCTCCCAAGGTCCAAATGAGGAGCAGAAGGAGGGAGAACATGAGCAAGAAAGTCAGGAATGCGAGGGGTGCATCCACCCACTGAGACAGTGGGACTGATCTAATGGGAGCTCACCAAGACCAGCTGGACTGGTACTGATGGAGCATGTGATCAAACCAGACTCTCTGAATGTGGCTGACAATGAGGGCTGACTGAGAAGCCAAGGACAATGACACTGGGTTTTGATTCTACTGCATGGACTGGCTTTGTAGGAGCCTAGTCTGTTTGGATGCTCACTTTCCTAGACCTGGATGGAATGGGGAGGACCTTAGACTTCCCACAGGGCAGGGAACCCTGACTGCTCTTAGGACTGGAGAGGGAGAGGGAGGAGGAGGAGTGGGGTAAGTGAGAGGAAAATGGGAGGAGGTGGAAATTTTTAATAAAGAAAAAAAAGCCACCCAAATCATAAACATGGCTATTATTAAGACACTTGACTTACTTTATACCTAGTTGTCCTGAGAATCTTTTGTGGCGTGGTCCAGAATCCCAGCATCAATGACAAAAATTCACTGAAAGAACTGGGGCTGAGACAGGCAGCAGCACACAACCTATCTTCTCTTCCAACTCCTGCTGCCACTGACAGGATAGCCTGGACCTCC